AACCATGTGCATTGTACATGTGTGGTGTACATCCTTTCATGAAATAAGACTAATTGGAGAATTGACTAAGTGTGTTGTGAATTTCACACCCCTAAATTTTCACAATGTGGAGTCTACCCTTCTATTTTTATTACATTTATTTATTGATGGGGGGGCATGTACATGCCCTAGTATGCGTGTGGAAGTAAGAGAACAACGTTCAAGAATCGGTTCTATCCTTCCACCATATGGGTCCTGGGGATTAAGTCCACGTCATCATGCTTGGCAGCAAGCGTCCCTATCCACTGAGTCATCTCATCAGCCCCATATCCTGTTTTTGAATATTGTTTTTCTCTAGAAATTTCTAGAGTATGAAGTAGTAGCCCATTTCAGTTTCTGTAGCAGTTATATATTTTTTTTCTTTCTAAAAAGTTTTGAGGAGTTTATTTAATGTACATCCATAGTAAGTCAGTCTAGATTCTTTGGAGTTAGAAGGCCGTGCTGGGGATTGAACCCAAGGTGTTCCTACCTGCCACTAAGCTATATCCCAAGCACTAGTGTGAAATTCTTTAGCTGTGTTCTATGATAGGGTAGTCAAGAAACTTACTAAATTGATACATGGAAAAATGGGCAAGATTATTGATTATCTGAAATTGGTGGCATTGAAAAGACTGTTACTATCATAACACAGTTAGTTGACTAGTTAGTTACCAAGGAAGAAGTTCTTCAACCAAAAGTAATGCTATTCTATTCTAACCTTCTCTTGTCCATTTGGGGCAGGGGAGAAAAAAATAAAAAACTTTACCTACTGAGCTATCCCTCGAAACCTTAAGATATATTTTCTGAGACATATTCCCTATAGCCCCAGCTATCCTGGAACTTGCTATGTAGACCAGGCTGGCCTTGATCTCACAGAGATCTGCATGCCTCTGACTCTTGAGTGAGTGCTGGGATTAAAGGCATGTGCCCCCATGTCTGGCCCCTTGAGAGTTTTGACTGCTGTTCATGATGACCAGCACAATAGTCCTGGGTTGCTTACATTACTTATGGTCACAATTGCCCGGACTTCTGCAGAACACAGCTGCAAGTCTCCCCGCCCACCATGTCCCTTCTGCAGCAGCCTGAGCCCAGTTAGGGGCATTGGCCAGCAGCATGGGAAGGATGGAAGTGTATCCTGTTTCCCATTGTGACAGAATTTGCCTCTTGTCTATTTGCTGGCATGAGCCATAAAGAGTGAAGGATAATGCAGCTTGTGATGAAGAGTGGTTTTAAAGGAAATATGAAATTGCATGAGGTAGAAAGATTTTTTTACTATTTAAGGCTAACCAAATTAAAGGTTTTTAAAAGTTTAAAAATTAAGAAGGACTGGAGAGATGGCTCAGTGGTTCCCAGCACCCACATGGCGGCTAACAACTGTCTGTAACTCCAGTTCCAGGGAATCTGATGCCCTCCTCCTACCTCCACAGGCATTGCACGACACAAGTGTGCTTACACACATGCAGACAATACACACATACACATAAAATAAAAATAATAAATATTTTTAAATATTGTGTAAAGGTTATAGACCTGCATTTTCTTAGCATAGCCCACCTTTGACCTCCTGTAGGGTTAATATGCTTTTCCTTTTTCCAGAGGTGACCTTGAAGGTGCACATTAGTGATGCCAGCACCCACCAGCCCATCGCAGATGCAGTCATTGAGATCTTCGCCAACCAGGTCTCTGTGGCCTCTGGCTCATCTGGGACAGACGGGGTTGCCTTCATCAAGTTCCAGTACAAGCTGGGTAATCAGTTGATTGTCACCGCTACAAAACATGCCTATGTGCCAAACTCTGCCCCGTGGAAGCCAATCCGCTTACCTGGTAAGCCATTCTTCATCTCTAAAAAGAACATCATGATCTAAGCAGGTGATGATGAAGTCAGTTATAGAAAACCTTCAGTAGGAGTCAGGTGGAAAATCTGGATGTTGACTCTTGGCATCACCTGCTGGGGCCCCGTTATATGGAGGAAAGGCAGGATGAGTATGTGAAGCTGGCTGGGGCTCTTCCTTGCTGTGCATACACAGGGGTCAACAACTTTCAGTTTTCTGCCCATTCTTCCAATGCCAGGCTTTATACCTTGTTGATAACCAGTTGCATGACTCTATACTCTGTGTTTAGCATCCTCGTTAGCTCCCTGGACCTTCTTCTCTGCTGTCACAGCTGAGAGAGGCCCAGTTGCAAGGATATCTAAAGATATCTTCCCATGTCTTTGTAAAGGAATTCTAAGAATTGGTTAACACAAACTTATAGCACAGAAAACACAGTAGATGGCCAATAAGTGTATGGCCTTAAAAGCAGGGCCTGGCAAAATACCAATGTGGGCACCCAGTTCTGACCCTCAGCCCAGCTAGAAACACTTCTTCATGGGATAGGCTTTGATCTCTGAGGTCCTGTGGCCACATCTGGAACCACTCTCTCTGCCTTATAAAGCCAGCATCCAGTCACATTCACAAAATTCTCTTATTCACTTTTCATTTATTAATGCCTATGGCTACCAGCCTCTGCCTCAGGTATATCTAGAGTTATAGATTCTGTATATCTAGTCTGGGTCCTAGAGAGTTTCTAGTTTGTTCATGAAACCAGCCACAGAGCAGTTTCCATCACAAAGGATGCTTTAGTCAGGAGTCTTCAGAGATGGACTGGTATACCTACGTGTATAGATGAAATGGAATTTATTGGCTCATTCTGTGACAGAGGCTGGGAAGTCCTACAATAAACCATCTCAAGCTGGAGAACCAGGAAAGCCCAAAACATGTCCCACACCAAGTCCAAAGGCTCTGGAATATAAGACTCCAAAAGTGTAGTTCTTTGTCTGAGATGAAGATCTGAGAATCCAGGGGCCACTGGCGTGAGTCCCAGCATCCAAAAGCCAGAGAACCTGGAGTTCTGGCCTCCAAGGACAGGGGAAGAAAGGTGTCCCAACCCCAGAAAAGAGTGACAGGAATTCACCCTTCTTCCACCTTTAGTTCTGACTGCATCATGGATCTGATGGTGTCCACACACACTAAAAGCATGTCTTCCCTGCTCACTTACAGGCCTCCTAGACATACCCAGGTCTGCCTTAATCTTTTTAAATGAATGCTGGGCCACTGGGTTTTCTTTATGTAGAACAGCAGTGGGCTTAATGCCTACTAAAGTTTTAGGATTAAGGAATGCAGTGATTAAGAATAAATAATGCTTTGCTGACTCTCCAGGCATGCCATAATTCAGTCAAGTTGACATTCAAAATTAACCATCAAGCAGGTTGAGTGCTCTGATAAACTAATGAGCAGATGTGTGCCTGGCATGCTGGGCCAGGCGGAGTTAACTAGTGAAGGATGACTTCCTGGAGGGGATAAGGCGGTCACTGCATCTTGAAGTTAATAGATACCAACAGAAGGTACTTGGAAGAGTATACATTGAGTCTGGGGAGGTTGGTGTCTTCACAAGAAACTCTGTCACCAGCACCATCAGGACTCATGGATAAAAGCAGTTACTAAAGTTTGAAAGCCTATTCTGTGAGCTATGGAAAGTAGACTCGATGTAGATACTGCTGAAGAGATTACTTAGAAGAAGTTTAAAGAAGAAAAGTACGAACCTGAGAAACATTGAGCAGGCAGAATCTAGAAGGCTTTGGAGAGTGGACAGGAAAGAAGGGGGAGCACGAAGTAAAATATGAATTGGAATTCCAGTTCCTTGTTGATAAAAGGAAAGAAGCCTGTGAGGGGAGGTGACGGGCTTGAGAAGCCTGCCACGCCGTGCTTCCCTAAAGGTGATTGCCTGAACAATGCTTCCCTAGCCCTTATTTTCTCCCTGAGGCCTTTTCATACTTAGGACCTTAGGCGGTATGAAGTCGGGGGGTGGGATTTAAAATGGAGAAATCACCAACAGAAGTACAAAAGTATGAAAGGCCTGCACCAAATAGATGAAGAAAAGGGCATTTACAGAGGAAGAGCTGAAGCAAGAAGACAGTGGCATCCTGTGCAGCCTCTGCTGGGAATGTGTGCATCAAGAGACTGTGTCCTTGGCCACTGTACATAGATAGGCACATAAACCACTAGGACTCTTGATCTGGGGGACAAAAGATAAATTTTAGCAAATAGATCCATTTGTAAGTAAGGGGTCCATAAATGATGTAGATCAGCAGTCTAATGGCTTTCATTTTGAATCAGTTAATGTGATCACTGGAGGAAAATAAACCATTTCCATAGTACCTGCTTTCTTGAATAAGTCCAATAATGGGAGCAACACAATTTAATTGAGTTTTGGACACAGCATAGACACACCTAGAACCCAGACTTGTCCACCCCCAGCTGGCCCCACCTCAGACTCTCTGAGCCTGTGTTTCTAGTTTCTAAAATGGAATTAATTGGCCTGAATCATTTCAAGAGACCTTCCCGTGCTTTGGGTTGTTTTAATGTGCTGACCTTTTCAATATAATAAAGGTACTCCTAACAAAATGTAGACCGGCCTCTCATGAAAAGCAGAGGAAACTGTTGTTTGGGTATGTATTTTTAGAAGTCAAGCCTAGCATTTCTGGTATTCCAAATAACTGGGCAAGGAAGCAGAAGATCTGGGAGCTTCTTCTAAAACAGGATGAAAATCTGAGGCTGAAATGCCATCTTTACTATATGTGCAGTGTTTTGGTTTGCATGCACATTCTTAGGTGCCTGGAATGGACTTCTTTTCTCACCCCTAACAATAGCTGCTAAAATGTGTGCTGGGTTTTCCTCTTTCATGGAAGAGGGTGTAGATCGGAAAGGGGGCCATCAGCCTGAAGGAAGCACAGGTGCCAGTTTGTCTATATAGCATGCATCCCATCCACTAAAGGCAAGCAGTCTACATCTCAGTTCTTCCCATCTCGGCAGCCATTGCCCTAGTGAAGCCTTTTTACTGTGGTGCAGGATGACAGTGGGCGCTGACCAGGTTACCTTACCTCTTCAGAATGACCCACCACACTGCAAGCCAAGCACTATGTCTTAAAATACACGTGCCATTATGGTTACCTGCACAAGACCTGCACAGAATGGGGTCCATCAATATCCCATCACAATGGGAGAGACTCATGAGGCCTCGGCCCAGCCTTCAGGAGCTATTAACAGTTAACGGTCGCTGGTGGAGAGGGTGTCATTTTCTTCAGTGGTGTAGGCTCTGATAAGTTTCCCATGTTCCAGTAAACAACCCACACCCCCACCCACACCCACGTAGGCGACCCGGATCAAACTCAGCGGGTCACAAAACAAAATACATGGAAGTAGGAGGAGGACTTTTGGGGAAGAAGAAAGAATTCAGCAGGAATGGGAGGGGGTAAGAGAAAGTAATGAGGTGAAATTGTCCAAAATATATTATATGCATGCATGAAATTGTCAAAGACTTTTTTAAATTTAAATGCATGGTGCCTAGTTACATTATTCTTCTGCCTAAAATCCTTCAGTGGCCTCCAGGCAGTCCACACGACACAGTTTCCTTTCTTCCTCTCACGGCTGGCTGGCACTTTCTGTTACTTTTACCCTCTGTGTTATACAAGCTGTTACGCTTTCCCATTGTTCGCTTGGCAAACTTCTATCTTGTGAAGCCCAGCTGGACTATTTCCACTCCAAGTCTCCCTGCTTCCCCCAGGTGGGCCGAGATATTCCTTTCCATGTACCATTAAACACTGGGATGGCTTATAACTCAGTGACAGAGTGCTTTCCTGGCATGGGAGGGGCCCTGGGTTCCACCCCCAACACCACCAAACAAAAAACAAAGAACAAAACAAAACCCTGAGCCCCTGCTTAATATGAAGAGCCTCCATCAGCACCCTCTCCAGAGTAAGTGAAAAATGTACTCAAAACTCTGGGGGCCTCTCTGCCACCTCCCACCCCTGGGCACACAGGTTTGGGTCCACAGCCGCTGTCCCCCTGCTCCAGGAAACTGCGGTTGCAGCACAGCTGATCCATTATAATTCATCGCCTCTTTTCCTCTGAAAATAAGATTTGAGGAACAGTTTGCCAGAACAGCTTCCCAGGGAATGAGGGGCCAAGTGTTCCAGGGGAGACGAGTTTTCACAGCACATCGGTCCCTAGTTCTGAAATAAGGATCATAGGTGAGCTCGGAGCTAGAAACTCCACACCAGTCAGCAGGAAAGTGCTTGGGGCCTGGCAAAGTGCTGCTGGGCTCTGAGGAGATCTGGAGAGACGTGGGTGGAGTGGGCGGGGTTTGGTGCTTCCTTCGTTTAGACAGGAGCTGCTTCCTGTAGGCTACACCCTCCACAGCAGTCCTGTCCTTTCTTCCTAGCCACCAGGTACCACCTGCCCTATGCCAGCACTGTGTAGAAGGGTCACAGTTAAGGGTTAAGCTAACCATGGAGAATTTACCCAGGTTAGACACCCGAGCCCTCTCTAGTCCTGGCTCCTTGTGACCCTGTGGGGGATCAGAAAGGAGGAGAGGAGCGAGCAGCAGCCTTTGCTGTGACCGTTCTTTTGTTTCTTCTGATCCCCCCTCCCCCATGGTGGTTTCGTTTTTTATTATTTTGTTTGTGCTTTTGTTTCTCAGGTGGAACCCAAGGCCTCAACCGTGCTAGTCAAGTGATGTACCATTGAGCTATATCTAAGTCTTTTTTTGTATGTTTTATTTTGAGACAGAGTCTTACTGAATTATCCAGGTTGGCCTTAAACTCACTATGTCACCCAGGCAGGCCTTGAACTTGCAATCCTCCTGCCTCAGCTTCCCAAGTAGCTGAAAATATAGGCCTGTGCCACCAGACCTGCCTTAGAAATTTTTTAAAATTCTTTTTTTACTTTTGGTTCATTACCACATTAGGGAATGAGCCAAGTCAGTAAAGTGCTTTCCATGCAGCATGGAGACCTAAATTTGGATTCTCAGCACCCATGTAAAATGCCAGGGGTGATATGCACCTATAGCCCTAGTGCCAGGGAGGCAAAGACAGGAGAATCCTTGAGTTCACTGGTCACTTAGTCTTACCAAATTGGTGTGCTCCAGGCCCTGTGAGAGACCCTTCTCTCAAAAAAGATAAATAAATAATAAATAAATAAGATGGACAGCAAAAAAGGAAGACACCAGTATAGGCCTTTGATCTCTCTGTGCGTACACACACAGACACAGACATGCACACGTACTAACCCATAAACCATACACACACAAATACCATTTTCAAATGTACAGGATGCCTGGTTAGCTCAGTTGGTAGATAATGAAACTCTAAAAGTGTGTATGTCATAATTTCTCAGCTAGCGTAGCCCTGTTATCTAATTCCAGCTTATTCATCACCTTCTATAAACCCTGTGTCCATTAGCTCCAACTTTCTGTTTCTCACCCCTTCCAGCTCTAAGCAACCTCCAAGCTGCCCTCTGTCTCCCAATTTTCCCGCTCTAGATATTGGTTACAAATAAAATCAGACAGTCTGTGGCCTTTTGTGCCTGCCATCTTGACTTGGCATGTTTTCACAGCTGAGATAAATAATATTGATTTTCAGTTTGACAGGATCTAGAATCACCTGAAAGGAGCCCTTGGGCATGCCTGTGAGGGGTTATCTAGATTAGGTTAGTGAGGGGGAGAAGCCCCCCTTCACCTGTAGGTGGCACCATTTCATGGCAGGACTTCCTGCACTGAATGAAAAGGAGAAAGTCAGCTGAGCATTAATGTTGCCATTCTCTGCTTCCTGACTGCAGACACACTGTGACCGGCTGCCTCTGGCTCCTACCACTATGAGCTCCCTGCCATGACGTACTAGCCCCCCAAACTGAGAACCACAATAAACCCTTCCTTCCTTAAGTTGCTTTTGTCAAATGTCATTCAACAAGACAAGTAACTAATCCCAAGGCCCAGGCTTCTGGGAGCACATCAGTACATTTCTTTCTCTGGATGAATAATATTCCCTTGTATATACATACCATACTTTATCCATTTCTCAGCTGACAATTGTGTTTCCATTGTTTGCTGTTAGGAATAATGCTTGTGAGCATATATATATACAAATTTCTGAATTAATATGCTTCAGCGCTCATGGGTTTGTACCTGGCAAGGGAATTGCTAAGCCACATGGTCACTCTGTATTGAATATTTGAGGAACTTCAAGACTATTTTCCACAGCACCAAAGTGCATTCTTATATTTGTCATGGCACTTGCTACCTTCTGCTTGTTGTAAATCTATTGCCTGTTGGTCCTAGTCCCCTTCTAAAGCATAATCTTTAAGGCATAGACCATATCCCACTTTTATATGTTCCATTCTGGGTGTAACCTCGGCTAAGTGTATTGACTGTGTGGAGCAGAGTGGAAAGAGGGCACACCACTGGTCCCAAGGGTGCTGTGGGGAACCAGCACTGCCAAGCCCCCGATAGTCTTGGCACTTGGTCTTGATATTTCCACAGAAAGTCACATTTCTTCATGATAGGATAGTGCATACCTGCAATCCCAGTGTGCAGGAGGATTGTGAGTTTTAGGCTGACTGGGCCTCAACCTCAGCTACATAACAAAACACTGTCTCAAAAATAAACAAGTAGGAGTTGAAGAGCTGGCTCAACAATTAAGAGAGTGTACTACTTCTGCATAGGACCCGAGTTTTATTCCCAATACCCACATTGGGTGGCTCACAACCTCCTATAACTCCAGCTGCACGGGAATGCCTCTAGCCTCCACAGACACCTCTCTGCCTTTCTCTGTCTCTCTCTCTGTCTCTGTCTCTCTCTCTCTCTCTCTCTCTCTCTTGCTCTCACTCGCTCTCTCTCACACACACACTCACACTTAAAAATAAAAAGTAAATTGGTCTGGAGAGATGGCTCAGCAGTTAAGAGCACTGGCTGCTCTTGCAGAGGACCCGGGTTTGAATCCCAGCACCCACATGGCAGCTAGCAACTGTCCCCAACTCTAATTCTGACCTCTATGAGCATTGCATAACATGGGTACGCTTACATACATGTAGGCAATACACTTATACATTAAAAATAATAAATTAAAAAGTAATAAGAAAATAAATAAGAAAATAAATAAGAAAAACAGGCTGGGGAAAAACTCAGTTTGCAAAGTGTTTGCTGTGATGTTCTACCACTGAGCTGTACTCATTGTTTTACCATTTTTCATTTTGAGATAGTACCTCATTAAGTTATCCAGGTTGGCCTTAAACTCACTTGTCACCCCAGAACCCATGTAAAAGCTGGAGAGAACTGGCACATGCTGTAACCCTAGCGGTGGGGAGGTGAGACAGGCAGCCTACTCTGATCAGTGAGCCCCAGGCCTAGTGAGAAACCCTGTCTCAAAAAACAAGGTGGACAGCTTCTGAGGAGCAACATCCAGAGTTGACCACTGACTAGACTGCACACGCACACATATACATACACATACATACACACACACACACACACACATACACACACACACGCACACTCAGTCACATTACCTTTTCCTCCTCTCTCAACTTCAAGACATGGTCTTTCTGAAGTCCAAGGAGTCTGTGAGTTTGAGTCCATGAAGGAAGACTTCAGAATTCAGATCTTAGCCCCAGCAGCATTTATCAGCTGGGGGCTCTCTGACAAATTATAAACCCGCTTCCTTACCTGAAGAGTGAGCGTGTAAACAATACCTACTTCATAGAGTTGTTTTAATACTTAAATAAATTACCAAAGTCAATGCACTTTGAATTATATCTGGCATGTTAGAGCCTGAGAATGTTGGCGATTATTATTGGTCTACAGCTCAATTATTTGGTTTCTTTTCTCAAGTTCATATTGTTTAAGTAAAAAAAAAAAATACCTGACAAAGGCAACATAAGGAAGGGTTTATTGTGGCTCACAGTTTAAGGAGTACAGTCCATCATGCCAGGGAAGGCATAGTGGCAAGAGTGTGACTCTTCACATTGTGTCCTCAGTCAAGAAACAGATGGTGGATAGGAAGTGAAGTTGGGAGATAAAATCCCTAGTGACCCATTTCCTCCAGTGAGGCTCCACCTCCTAAAGTCTCCACAGCCTTTCAAAACAGCACCACCAGTGGGGACCAAGTGTTCAAACACATGAACCTATGGGACACACTTCATATTCAAACTACAATATGCGTGTTTTGCCCAGAAACTTACAGACTTAATGATTCTTAGCTGGAAGTCCAGATCTTAAGCAATACGTTAAAATTAGCATAAATTCTATCATGTTATTTCTTCCCAAGTTGGAGGGAATTCTTTTAACATGCAGCATACGTGAACCCAAGCACATTTTTAAAAATCTCTCTTAATGCTAATATCTAACATTGTATATAGAAATATATACATTCCATATTAGTATATATATGTATATATGTAATAACTTTTAACCTACTTCTGATGTGTCAAGGCTCTGTTACTTTATTAAAGATATCACATGAGAGAAATGGGGACATAGCTCTGTCATGCAAAAAATGTCTGAATTCAATCCCCAGCACCCATGTATAAATTCCAGGCATGGTGGTGCACACTTATAATCCTAGAACTGAGGAGGTGGAGACAAGCAAATCCCTGGGGCTTGCAGACCAGCCACCCCAGCCTATTCAGCAAGCTCCAGGTTCCCATAAGATACCCTGTCTCAAAAAACAAGGTAGACAGCTCCTAAGGAACAACACCAAAAGTTAACCTCTGACTTACACACATACACGCACACACTTGCTTATCATTACACGTATATACACAAACACAAAATCTCACAATTTTTTTTCAGGTTGACTGTTACACAGTAGTAGTTGTGACATGAAGGGTTATAGTGATCCAGGCATTTTGAAGGCATTTCACTAATCATATGGAAAAATCAGCATTATTGACTGACTTGAAATCAGAAAGTACAAAGAATACAGAGTACCCAGAAAGTTAAGAGTGAGCCTTTGGATTGAAGTATGAGAGTTCCCTTATGTCCATTTTTATTCTTGCAGTATTTTCTTCACTGAGCCTCGGCCTGCTTCCAGAACGATCTGCTACTCTAATGGTCTATGAAGATGTTGTCCAAATAGTATCAGGATTCCAAGGTATGTTTCATATTTGAAAAGAGAAACATTAACTCTTGGGCAACTATTAACATTTTATGAGGAACCTGCTTCTTCTTGGTGGATGGCAGCAATGAGTTTGTGGAAACTGCAGTTTTCCACAGCTGAGACATAACCCTTGTTGTGTCTGTGAGGAACCTGAATTTTGGTCACATTATAAGGTGGATATAAAGTGATTTCTTTCAGAGCCATCCTTTGAATGTATGAAAGAACACAAAGGGCTGCCCCACCCCGCCCTCACCATCTTTCTTTCTAAAGGGGAGCGTGTTCATTTTACTTGGTTCACTGTCCTGGTCCATGGACATGGTCACTCACAAAGCCTAGTAAGTGTGTGGGTGGCTTTTTCTTCTCTCTCTGTCTCTCATCCCTTTCAGTGTGTCTATAAATATGATCTAACACATACAAACACACTTGGCTCTTAAGAGATGCTAATCTGGAGGCCAGGCATGGTGGCACACACCTTTAATCCCAGCATTGAAAAGATAGAGGCAGGCAGATCTCTGTGAGTTCAAAGCCAGCCTGGTCTACATAGGGAGTTCCAGGCCAGCTGGGGCTACAGGGAGACCCTGTCTCAAATGACCCCCCAAAAAGGAGAGAGATGGTAATATGGAAGGTTCTAGACACTTACCCTCTCATCAGATTGGGATTGGCGTTAGGAATAACGTTTGAAAGATGTCTTTCTGTGCTGAGATCATTTTGTTCTATCATAGGCCTGAGACTCATATTTCCTGGCACTGAATGTTCTGTAAGATCATTGTTTTGTTCCATTTGGCCCTCTTCATCCCAAGGTGTGGTATTGCAGGCTCCATGACTGCTGATTCAGTCAACCTTGGGGCTGGAAGGATGGCTTAATGGTTAAGAGTACTTGGTGCTCTTACAGAGGACTCGAGGGTAGTTCCCAGTACCCATGTCAGGCAACTCACAACTGCCTCTAACTCCAACTCCAGGGGATCTAACATTACCCTCTTCTGACCTTGATGAGTATTTACATACATACATACACTCACATACATACACACACACCTAAAAAATAATAATGATCTTTTTAAAAATGTGTTACTATTGAACATTATATAGACTTTTCTTGGCATCAGTTCCTAAAAGAACAGTATAACAACTCTTTTCACAGTATTTCTAATGTATTGGATATGTTTAAAGGACGTGTGGTATATGCATAAATTCTGTGCAGATATTGTGCTATTTTTATAAGGGACTTGGGCATCTCTGGATTTTGGTATCCCCAGGGGGTACCCTGCATATATGCAGAGACCACCATATGTGTACTTTATTCTTTAATGCTGATACCACCTATGTCACACCTATCACAGTCTACCACACAGAATCCATGTGGCATTAGAAAATAAAGTGTGCCCACTTATTCCTTTATTAATGGGAAGTTGCAGGGAGATATGAAGAATTTACTGTGTAGCTACTGCTTTTAAAGGATGAATCTGAAAAGAAGTGGAAGCGTCTGGCAGCATTCATAACTGGGCTTTGGGAAAAAAAACAGGAACAGAAGTGCAGATTTTAGTATCATCTTAACAATAAAGTTGCTATTTTTCATACAAGGAAGAATAGTGCTAGGCCTGAGTGTTCTCCAATGACACCATGGCCTTGATACCTCCAGTTCATCTTCTGTTAGCTTTTCTATGGAGAGTCGATTGTAGTCTCCAATCCCAAGGACATTATCTCTTTGTTCCCCTTGACATCGCCAGGTTTAACAGAAGTGGCATTTTGGTCACCTGTCCTGAAACTGCCTTCCCTCACCTCCATGACATCCTGACTTTTCTGTCTTGACACTTGGTCACTGCAGGGAAGACTGCAGCTTCTGTCCTGGGCCCACACGTCCCTCTTTTCCTTTCTCTGGGCCATCCTACCTAGACCCCTGGGTGTCTATCTCCTCTAGATGCTGATTGCTCCCAGTTCCTCTTTCCAGGGGCACTCAGCCTTCCCCTGCGGTGGAGACTCAACCGCTTATTTGGATATCTACTGAACATTTCCAACTTGATATATATACACACAGAGCTCTTGGTCAAATGTTCTTTTCTACACCTGCTATCTCAGGAAGTGGCATAAACATAAGCTGAAGTTGGTCAGACTGAAACTTTCTGAACCTTTCCTCTCCATTCTGTTGCTGCCTCAAGAATGTGTGACACCCCCGTTTCTCCTCTGAGCACTGCCGAGGGTTTTGACTGGTGATAGGATTATTATTCCTGCTCCTGCTGAACCTACAGTCTGACTCTTACTGGACTCAACTTAAAAGTGATTAAGTCAGCCTGCTTCTGTTCTTCAGTGGTTTTCTTATAGTACTTGTGGTACTTGCAATAAAATCCATTCTTTTTTTTTTTTTTTTTTTTTTGAGACAGGGTCTTCCTGTAGTGGTGCTGGCCTGGAACTCACTATGTAGACCTGGCCTTGAACTCACAGAGATTAGCCTGCCTCTGCCTCCTGAGTACTAGGATTAAAGGCATGTGCCAGCCTAAAATCCACATTCTTTACCCTCAGTCCTCTGGTCCTGAGCTTCTGGTAACTGTCATAGTCATCAGAGATCATTGTTTATATAAAAAATAGGGGCAGATGGTGGCATTGAAACACACGGGTTTCCTGAGGAAGCAGAAGCAGGCCCCTTGCCCTCTTTCTTCCTCCACATAGAGCCCTCGTCAGCCTCTTTTCCTCACAGCCACCTGTCATATTCCTTGAACCTGGGCTTCCCTTTATTAAGGTTAAAGGAGGAATGTGTGATCCCTGCACTATCCCTGTCCCTAAAATTTGTGGCTCAATGTATAGGGCCAGAGCAATAGCCACACTGAATTCCATCATGGCCACGTGATCTTGTGACTGCCTTCTCTACTCCTCACTGTCACCTACCAGCCCTGACACAACACCTAGTTGTTTCCTTTTGTGGCTCTCAGGAGGCCCATAAAGGAGCCTAGAGTCCCTGTCATGTGCTATCTATCAACAGTCACCTTCTTCCTATGCAGCATTTGTGTGTGACCTTCATCTCCCTTTCTTATATCTCCATGAGTCAAAAATAGTTACCAGAAGTCTGCCTATATAACCTGAGTTACTTCACGGTCACGGCCCCTGTGCCCCCACACACGTGTGCTCTTTTCTGCTGCCCACATATTGCCCACCTGTGCCACTAGGACCTTGGTGGATCTCTGCTGGTGCTTCTAGCAGGCATTAGGGTTGGAGCTGATTTCAGTGGAGAAACTACACTTCCTGCCTTAAGCCTCTCCTTTCTCATGCTTTATGCATTAAACTGCCAGTTTAGTCTGCCAGGAGCCAGGCTCTGGTCATTTCTCAACCTTGTTTCCATGTCACTCTTTACTAAGCTCTCACAGGCTACTTTAACCCAGCCTCAATATCCCCACTGAGTATTCTTCATGTACTGTGTTTTAGCCTTACTCAGTTTCTTTTGCTGTTTTCTATCTGAGACATTCTACCCCATCTTCCATACTGTCTTCAAACCCTTCATAGATGGGAAAGCCAGCCTAAAAGCCACAACTTCAGGTACCTTCCTGTATCTCTCTTGGAGCTGGGAGTCACGTCCTGCCTTGCCACCCAAACTTAGCTTCCAAGGGGCTGAGATCATGTGATCTTATCCATCCAGGCCACAGCTGTTGGGTCTGGAGTGGGCACCCAGCACAAGGTTACTAAAACATAGAATGCCCAGGGCTCAGCAGCTTTGGGCTCTCTTCCTTTTACTGGGATTGGCCTGAGTACCTGGGAAAGGGAAGAATTGCAGCTGAATGAATAGTAGTGAGGTGTAGTTGGGGTAGAGGCCCTAGCCAGGCCCCCTGTGAGCTAGTTCAAGAAAAGTATCTGATAAAGCCACATGAGGGTACACACCTTTAATCCCAGTACTTGGGAGGCAGAGGCAGGTGGATCTCTGTAAGTTCAAGGCCAGTCTGGTCTACATAGTGAGTTCAAGAAAGAGAAAGAGAGAGATGGGGCAAGGAAGGGGGA